AAAAAGTCCTTTTTGTATTCCGCAATATCTTTATATTATTTAAATTGTTGTTGGACATTTTTAATTAAACTATAGGTTTAGGGAAAACTGTTGCACTCTTCTCTAATCTTATGAGTAACTTACACCAGAGTCCGTGCTCAACCGTCTTTTTTGCAAACTCCAACTTTACATGTCATATCAGAAAGTGTCTCCCGGCTGAGGTGATCGAAAAGACATTTTCAGATGACTCAATATATCTGTCTCAAACTGTTCGGATTAAAAATAAACACATGACTTTAAAGAGATACATTTTATACACCTTATTACCAGGGACGTGCCGTGACATTTGATGATAGGGAAGCTGTGTTTCTATAAGAAGCCGACTTCCAGGGGCAATCAGTTAATTCTTTCTTTAAATGTATTTTTAATAGATTATTTATCTGACGTACTTAATAAATAAACAAGTTCAATATAATTACCCTCTGTTATTAGTTTCAATAGGTTTCCTTTGCCCTCTAAATGCCAATTCTTGCTTTGATAAAAACATATAACATCTATTTATTTAGATATATCTTTAAACCAGGGCTGTGGAGTCGGAGTCGGAGTCGGATGGTAAGGAAAAGTCGGAGTCAAAGTTGGAGTCGGTAGATTTTTACGCGACTCCACAGCCTGCTTTAAACCGTAACTATCTCGTTACAATTTTCAATATTTATTTTATATCATTTACTAATGTTAAATTCTATTCCGCTTAAATTCCAAATCGCTTCAAATACGAAAGAATCGACGATTTTTCGTGTCTTTTGCCAGCTAAATCGTCAAAGCCATTCTTATTCCACACACTAATTTCATTTGAAAATAGTAGGCGAGCCAATAAAACAATTTTTGCATTTACAGAGCCATTTTATCGTGAAAATGTCGAACAAATTTTTTTATTGAAGCGTTTATATTTAACTTAGGCATTGGCCTTTCTCTTTTAATAATGTTTTCTTTTTCATTATATGATCTCGAGCCAAAACTTTTTTAAAATAAATTTTCAATATCGCAATTACATTCCGAATCGCTAGCCACGATATAAGGGCTAAAATTAAAAATAAAATTATAAAAACTTACTCGGTGAAATAAAATGTGGTGGATATACATATCCGGTACAAAATATTCTTCAATTGTACGAATATACTTTCAAAGAAAATTATAATTAAATATAGCTTTGTAATGAAACGTACATAAAAGTATTCTTTACTCTTTAAATCTTAACCACTTAGTGAAACAGCTCCCTACGAGTGGAATCAGAGACGGTCTTGCTAGGTATGCATGCACGCGGGCTGCCAAATCCCGAGGATGCCGATACCGGTTAATGTCAAATGTAAAAAGACGCGACAGGGTTCTTGTAAATTTTAAACGTTTCTCACCATAGCTGTAAAAGTCTAAATATGTTAAATTTAATAGATTGTCCGTCGTTTGTTTTCTAATTCGTTTTAGGACCAGGTGTCGTCCACGGAAATTTCCAAAATTTACAACTTTTCGGTCACTCTCGTTGAACTGGAAAAATGTCTGTCTTTATTACATCTAATATTTCGAAGAAATCATTCCCACTGTACTCAGCTACAGATTGGTTCGGTTAGGCTTTTCTTTAAGTAAAATTTCGGCTCTTTCATCAGGGTTTTGTTTACGTCCCCAATTCCCTAATCGCTTAATTATTTAACTACTTCTTAAGTAGAAATAAGTCGAAACCAGTTACTTTGTACTCGAATATTTGGAGTCTCGGGAAAAAAGTGGAAAGACAAATTTTTATGACAAACGGATACATAAATCGTAAATTTAAGAAAAATAAATTCTAGAGCTTTTTCTGTACCTGGTGCATTTCTTTCATTCATTAAATTTAGTTGTAAATGACGCTGTCAAAGTAACAGTTAATTTTTAACATTATACAAGATTACAAGTTTTTCTTCTACATCCCCTTAAAAATGGGATATACGAAATCGTAATATCACTGGTTTAACATCGAAATCCGTGAGTAATATAAAATCGGAGAGCGGAATAAAAATATCAAATATTTTAATGGATTTTTTAAACTCCCGTCAATTATACAGAACTATCGTAAAAACATACCAGTAAATTCTTATCGGTTGGGTTAAGTTATAAATCTACTCGTTATTCACGTAATCGAAATATCTAGTGGGCAGGCGGCTAACAGCCCAGAACCGGTCCTTGATAGAATTGGAATCGTTATATGTGTGCAGCTTCCACCCAAGGTCGTAGGCTTCCACCGGCTAAACCGGGTGAGGTTGGTGCTCTGTAAAGCGCATGCGCGAATCTGGCTTTTTGGATGCTGACAATACAGCGCTTCCACTCCGCCACTAATATTCGAATATACAATAGCAATTTTTTTTTTCACGTGTAGTATAGAAATTTGTAATAAGATACGTAATGCGGTTATAATAAAATATTATGCGATTATTTTCATATAATTAAAATTAATATGTATTTACTTTTTATAAAATACGAGGGCAGCGGTGCTTCCATCGCTTCTAATGACGACAAGCCACTGTTACAAAGCTATATTTAATTATAATTTTCTTTAAAAGTATATTCGTACAATTGAAGAATATTTTGTATCAGGTATGTACCTGTACATCCACTACACATTTTATTTTACAGAGTAAGTTTTTACAATTTTATATTTAATTTTAGCCCTTATATCGTGGTTAGCGATTCAAAGTGTGATTGCGATATTAAAAATTTATTTTTAAAAAGTTTTGGCTCGACACAATATAATGAAAAAAAAAACATTATTAAAAGAGAAAGACCAATGCCTAAATTAAATATAAATACGTCGACAAAAAAATTTTTCGACATTTTCATCATAAAATTTATGAATCCCTAAAATGGTTTTGTGAGTGCATAAAAATGCAAAAATTGTTTTGTTGACCTTGCCTATTATTTTCAAAGAAAATTGATGTGTGAAATAAGAATGGCTTTGACGATTTAAATAATTTGAGTAAAGCTGGCAAAAGACGCGAAAGTCGTAAGTGTCACATCGATTCTCTAGTAAAATTGAAGCAATTTGGAAATCAAAGCGGAATAGAATTTAACATTAGCAAATAATATAAAATAAATATTGAAAATTATAACGAGATAGTTACGGCTAATAGATATAACATCTATTATTTTAGATATATGTTTTTTCTCGAAGCGAGAATTAGCATTTAGAGGGTGTAGGGAATCTATTGAATCTAATAACAGAGATAATTATATTGAACTTGTTTATTTATTAAGTACGTCGGATAATCTATTAAAAAATACATTTAGAAAAGTCTACGGTTTTTACTGGCTTATCGAACAAACGAATACCAACGGACCCTGACGCGCAATTAACTGATTACCCCTGGAAGTCGGCTTCTTACAGAAACACAGCTATCATCAATTTCACGGCACGCCACAAGTGTCGTGTGACCACGGGTGCACATATTGAAGGATTGTGATTAATGCATGAAAAACTTGGTCAGTTGCCGCTGTTTATGCTGTAAGGCTTGCCCGTATAAGGCAATAAATAGATTTATTATGAATTTTTAAAACCGCACCATTGATTTATAAACACTCTGTATGTATTTTTTTCGTTTTATATTTCAGATTAACTTTCCCTGTTCTATGTATTTTGTCAACTGCGATTATTCTACCAATTTTTATAGATGGTCCCCATTGGCATAATATTGATATCCGTGTAAAATTCGTTGAACCGCATTGATGGAAATCGGTATTACATATATTCAATTATGAAGACATTCGCATTACAGTTAGTTACATTTAACTTTAATAAAATCATCAATTCATGTTTCATATAAGGCAAAAAATGTTATGTACCATTCTTGCAGTTGATCAGGTCATGAAAGCAATTTTTCAATTATATATCATTACTGTGCCTCTATTATTTATACTAGACAGGTGAGAACACTTGATTATTAAATAAGATCAATAATAAATTTTAAAGATGATATGTCATTAATAAAAAAAGGGTGAATGGACAGATCGCAGTATCGCTTATCATTTGGATCGGAGCAATGCAGCGAAGCAGCAATTAGACGACGCTGGCACGAGTAGGTCTTGAATGTAAAGTCAAGCGAAAAGTAGGCAATGGACAACCTACGATTACGACAAAACTGGTAGTTGCGCGATTGTTAACAGTGTCATCGAAGTTGTGTCCAATAACAAAGTGATCACCAGGACCATTATTAGACATTTGTGAGCGTATATTCAGTTCTAAGCGAACTGAATCTACGCTCACGGCGCCCATCATGCGGTTACTGTTGACCCGTAAGAATCGTCAACACCGATTTCTGTGGTTCCGAGCTCGATCAAAAGGACTTTGCATGGGGAAAATGGCCCTTATTTAGGTGTTAAACACTTGAAGGAAACTCGGAAAATTTTACGTGACCAGCCCGTTAGTCAAACACGAATCCACGAACTGTTCGGTGGTGTTTGGGCTCATCATATGTTGTTTGGGCTCATCATATGTTTACTGTGGGTATGGATGTAGATACTCGGGCTTATTTTACTGCTGCTACAATGATTATTGCTGTTCCTACGGGTATTAAAATTTTTAGTTGGTTAGCTACTCTTCATGGGTCTTATTTTGTTTTTAGTTCTGCTATGTTGTGGGCTTTAGGTTTTATTTTTCTTTTTACTGTTGGGGGGTTGACGGGTGTAATCTTGGCTAATTCTTCTTTGGATATTGTTTTACATGATACTTATTATGTTGTTGCTCATTTTCATTATGTATTATCAATGGGGGCTGTGTTTGCTATTTTGGCTGGTATTGTAGAGTGGTTTCCTGTAATTTTAGGTGTTTGTATGAATGATTCGGGCATTGGCAGGCAGAATATAAAGGGGCAAAGAAACTAGACCTAATAAAGTATGCATATGAATGTAAAAAATATATTAAAATTATTTGTTTCGACAGGTGTAAATTTTCAAATACTCAGTTTACTTTTAGATAAGATTATCTTTTACTGCAACTGAAGCATTTGTGTCGATAGAAAGAATGTTTTAATCATTTAACTTTCGTGACTTAAATATCAGGAAAATGTTTGTAATGGATGCCAGGCATTACAGTTTTATTCTAATAATAGTTTTATTTTCTGCAGCAGAAACGAGGAAGAAAGGTTGTCCACCCCAAGAAGATATTCCAGAATGTGTCTGCACTTCATCAGATTGGATGATATGCAAAAATATTATGACCCCACACCAGTTATTGTCTATAATGAACGTCATTTCCGACTACACACTTTACAGAATGAGGTATATTAATATATTATAGATATATTTACATACAACTGTAAAATTCCTGTTAATTTTTCATACAGATTTCTGTTACAGTATATTTGATTCCGAACTGATGTATCTACCAAATGGAATGTTTAAGAATCTTCCTATGACACACTTGACATTTTCTTCCTGCTCAATTTATGGCTGGGAATCAGAAAATGGTTCTGTAGCATTTGCAGGTGCCGAAGAGAGTTTAAACTCTATTAGTTTGAGGGATATAAAAGGAATAAAATCGTGGAACTGGTCCGTTTTTGCCGCTTTAAAGAATCTTCAAAGTTTGGATATCGTCTCGAGTGAGTTAGGACCCATTAGCGAAAATTTCAAACACATACCATCTGAAAAATTGGAAACTTTATTCATAAGTAATTGCGAAGTCGATTATATTGAACCTCGTGCCTTTTCCAAGTATGAAAATTTGAGGTGGCTAACATTAGAAAACATTACTTTGACAAAAGTCAATAGATCCATGTTACCTACGATAGCTAGACGTTTAGAATCTATATCCTTTACGTAAGTATTAAAATATTTATAGTTATATATTGGATTTTATCAAAAGTTTTCCCTTTTACTTTGGTTTTTGTGTAGCGGTAACAAGTTGAGAAATCTGCCAGAAGACATATTTACAAATATGCCAGTTCTTGAAGCAGTATACTTGAACAATAATCATTTTCATCATTTGCCATTCGAAGTCGTCAAACCTATAATAAATAATAAAAATTGGAGAGTGGTACTAATGGGTACGTTTTAACTATATTGTTCAATCCTTATGCTTTTACATGTTAGCTATTGTGTCGTTTAGTCTCGTCGACAATAAACGGTAAAGTCTTAATGTTGTAGTGACAAGTATAATGTGACATTGATGACGTTACTTTTATGTTTTATAGATAATGACATATATTGCTGTAGCGACATGTCGTGGGTTATTCCGTTTGGTCTGAAAATTCCAGCAATATGCAAATATCCACAGCACTTAAGGGGATTTCAGTTAGGTTTATTGAGAAAATCTGACTTTGATCATGGCGTTTGTTGAATGAAAATTGAAGCTGAGAAATAAAAGTAAATCTTAAACTCTGTTTTACTATTTTTACTTTTAAAATCGGTAAAAAAAAGTAAAATTCATTGTAATTTCAAGTTTTCTACAAGGCAATTTTTTCATTGTAGCCTGTTTAAAGTACTTTATAAGTACAGTACTTATAAAGTACTTTATACAGGCTACTTATACAGTGATTTCTATGTACTATGTAAGTATCCAAAAATGTAGTAAGTCGCCCAAATATAGTAGCCTAGAGCCCTACAAATATCTCAATCTGTTACTCATAATCCAATTTTGCAATCCCCAAACCCGGTCGTGTTTTATGAATCAGAGAAAAAAGGGTAGTCCATGGATGAGATGAGTCTCGAACTGTAAAAGCAAAGTCAAGCCAAGAAGTAGCCGTATTTTGAACTAACCGAATTCTTTACGTGTAAATTACGGGAAAATAGTACAGTTACGAACTAACGGAATTTCGAACTATCCTAGTTCGAATTAACGAGGATTTCCTGTACTTTTTTGTTTATTTAACTAATAATAATCTTAGGCCTAATAAAACTTTATTAAGGTAAAGTATATTGATCACGCTTCACTGGCATGTGTTCGGCTAAGAGGTGATACAGTTTAAAGCTAAATAAGAAAGTTATTTCTTTTCAATAAATAGTACAAAAGTTGAAATTGTGGTACATTATTAATTTATTTATTACACGTTGCTGAACGATTCCACACTTACACAGTACAGAACCTGCGTTAAAAAGAGAACAATAACAACTGAACCAATACTTATCAGAAAAAATAATTCATCAATAAACACCTTGGGCTGCTGAAATACAACATCCTAACAACACAAGTTCATTATTTAAAAATACTGATGAGCCACACTGTGATTATTATCGCTTCAATATGGCCGTCGCCGTCTTCACTAAGAAATCTTAAGGCTCCTGTTACTATTTTGTTTGTTGATTCAAACCATACGTAAATTGTAGAAGATAGTAACGCTCATAATTTAAAATAAATAAGTTAAGAATGGTGTCTTTTATGAGAAACCGTCCCGCATTTAGTTGCTAAATACGGGAAGCTGCACGCGGCCACCCACGATCAAATTTCGGTGGTTTTATCTACTTAGACACTAATGGGCTTGAGTGTGACACTAGTGATTCGTATCCTTCGACACCAGTGTTACTTAAATCTGCTGAAAGCTACTTTACAAATTCCATCTGTTGAAAACAGAGTAATGGGTTATTTGTTTTTGTTATTTCGGTTAGTTTTTGGCTTAGGAATATTTGTATTGAATATTTGTGGGGAAGCTTTCTCTGTGTCTAAGACATTCTTACTCATACACGTTATAGAAAAAGTGTGGAAACACCTGTATGTCTTGAGTAATGTTGACAAAATCGACTTTTTATGTGACAAGATGGTAAGTGGGTAGGGTCTTCCATGTTTGTTGAGCCAAAAGATAGAGGATTACACCCAATTACAATTTTATTCTTACTTTACAGAATTTATTCTCATAAAAATTATCTCATCCCACCCAATTACTATCTTGGCATATCAGAAGCCAATTTTGCCAAGCGAGTTTTATTCAAGATGGCATCGTAGTCACCATTTTGAATAAAGCTCACAATTTTTAAATGGAAATGATGTCACATTATTTATAAATTAAGCCTAGAATTAACCCAGAAACGCAATGGAAGTATCAGTTTTGGCCTAACTTCATTTAAATGCAGTGTCCACAAAGTGTTAAAAGACGTGTTCAATATGCTCATCAAGTTGCTAGTTGTACATGTTCAAGTGTCTATCATTAATCAAATTAACATACGTGTTTATTACTTGAAAAACCTTATCTAACACAAGTAATACATTAATTATATTTACATATTTTTCATATTTTATATCTTAAACGACTTTATTTCTTTAGAAACGACAGCAACTCTAACAGAGTTTATGTAAAAAATCTTTTCCTTTGATATCTTTTATCTTTTTTCCATCCACGACTTGTGGATGTTTGCATTCACCTTCAAAGTATTTTTGCACGTCATCCTTTACGATCCAAGAGAAATCGGAGCAGCAATAAAGATCGTTCCCTGAAAAACAAGTATAAAAATATAGATTTCAGATATAAATTCGGTAAAATACTTTCATATTTATAAAGGTTCGAATGTAGAAAACTTCTGCTTACCATTTAGAATGATGCTGAACTCTCTTCCTGTAAGAGGTTTGAAAGTATCGAGAGAAAGATGTTTAATTTTATTATTTTTTAAAGAAATTTTGTACAAAGCTGGCATATCCGTAAACATGTCTGCTGGAAGGGTGCTCAGTTTATTTTCACTGTAACGAAACGATTAGTGAAAAAGCGTATACATAATTATATGTGGAATCAAAGATACTTAATTAACAAGTGGCGGATCATCGCACAGAATGGGACCTCTGAAAACTATCATCTTCAAACAGAGATACATTCTGCGAATTTTAGCCACAGATACCATCTTTATTTAAACAATTACAGATTTATTTTTAAGGACGATTGACTGATCAGTTTTGTTTTATTAGGTAATAAATTGATTTGATAGCGTTACTTAGTTTGGCCCGAAACTAGGTTGCGCTTGGGGTCGTTCAATTGCTTGATTCGCAACCGCAAGTAACGCACAAAACATAGCAAAATGTCCTATTTTACTAATTGTATAGATCATTTATATATTATAACCCTAATTGATGTAACTGTTTTAAACAATGCATTGTTTGACGGTCAGATTGCCTAGTCATCTTATGGTTCTGGAGGATCAGGGATCGAATCTAAGCCAGTTCAAGGAATCTTTCATGAGCTATCCGACCCGTATATGTTTGGTTTCCACCTACTCATTTGTGGACATGTCTAAATCCACATTAGGTATAGAAAAAAGTCCCTCTTAGTGCATACAGGACAGAAACTTCTTAAGATATACAGTAGAGCGTCGTTTATCCGAAGGTCGGTTATCCGAAGGTCGGTTATCCGAAACGTCGGTTATCCGAAGGAATTCCAGTCGACAAATTTAAATTTTCTCCAATGCTGTGGCGCTGGAATCTTTGGCTATGTCTTCGGCTACTCAAATATTTTACGTTTTTGATACTAAATTAACTTCTGAAGTATAATTTTTTATTGTTTTTATATTTTTCAATATATTTATTTTGTTTGTACAAAATAAAAAAATAATTTTTAACGATACAATAGTCTTCGTTAGGCTTAACATCGACGAAAATTCAACGCAAAGCGACACGCAACGGAGAAAAATTTCAACACGGGATAAATTAATATATTTTTTCGTACATAATTGGTTATCCGAAAAATAAGTTATCCGAACAACCCCAGTCCCCAATTGATTCGGATAAACGACGCTCTACTGTAGTACTTGACAGCCATCTTTCGTTGAAATAAATTAAGTTTTTATTAGGAAATGTATTCTTAAAACAAAATTATCAATTATCTAAGTAATAATTTATTATATAAGGTATGTATACTTTAAAAATACTTACTCAAGAAGCAAATCCATCAAATGTGAAGCTGGTAATGGGAACATAGAACGTTTAATTTCCGTTAATTCGTTGTCCTGCAAACTTAGTTCCTTTAACATTATGTGCTTTGAAAATGCGTGCTTATCAAGGCTTCTTATTTCACAAAATTCCAGCCTTAACTGGGTTAATGTCTCCGGTGCGACCATTGTAAAATCTTTATCGATGTAGCCCAACTCGCCTCTTAAAATATACAAAAACTGTAGATTTTTCAATGTGGAAAGTACGATCCATCTCCAAGAATTCAATCCTTTCACAGAAAACAAACGAATGACTTGTAAACTATCTTCCGCGCCTTCAAACATTACCGATCCATCTTCGCTTTCTGTGCCTAGAACATCACTTTTTCTAATGTCTAATGCTCTAATTGGAACTTCTTTGAACATCCCACTTGGAAGATACATCAGAATTGCTCTGTTCAATCTTAATGAAATTACGATACACAGATTTCATTTCAACGTAATAATATGCAAAAACTCAAAAATTCCTTTATACAGTAAAACCTGCGTAAGCCGGAATCGGTTGTACCAAAAAGTTTTTTGTTTTAAACAGGTTTTCCTGTATATAAACTTTACACGTATATATTTACCTGAGTGTAGAAACTTTATATTCAGAAAGAGCATCCATTATTATGTTCAATTCTTGATGACTCATGATACCGTTACAGATTATTCCTCTAGGCCAGTCGCAAACACAACGTGGCATCTTTTCCTCTGGAGGACAGCCTGCTTTCCTTGTTTTTATTGTCTTGCAAAGAGTTAACAACACAACCCAAGTAAGGTACTTTCTATACATTATTTATTCTTACGTGTGATATAAATCTTTCAATGAACTGATCCTTTATTTCTGCACCTGTTAAAAAGTTACACTTAGAAGACTGTTTCCTTATGTTTATAGAATTTATTCTAATTTTCAAATATTTCAGAGCCAATGGGATTAGAGTTCAGATATTTCTTATAATTTTACAAATATAACAAGTATTTTCATAGATACATTACGAGGATATACGGTTGTTTAACACATGTTATACCTTCTGAAAATGACTTAAACGTGTAAATAAATATATATATATATATATATAACAGAGAATATATAATATTACAACATACCTTCACCATAAATTATTCATTGGAAAATTTAAAATAATGATAAATTTCTTATTAGAGAATTCATTTATATCTATATATTGTAATTTATTTGATAAACAGCTGCTAATTGATAAATGTTACTGTGATAATTAAACTCGATTGGATTAATAAAGGCAACTTAACTCATAGGTAATTCGCCGAGATAGTGTCTTCTATAAAAAAAAGGCATTCTATATCTATCATTGTGGGTTCAGTCAAGACCACAATAGGATACCGAGGAATGGGATCCTATATATTTCAATCATCCATAAAACATCTTCAGATAACTCAGATTAAAACTCGATTTTTAGAGTGACATATTGGCTTGTATTGAATTGGATTGATTGGCAACGCTACACAGGGAAGGGAGATGCCACCCGGGTTGTCTTTCTATAGGAAACTAGCTTCCTATTTAAGTGGTAATATAGCTGTTTTTCTTTTCCTTTACTTTCTCGCCAGTAATTCTCTTTTCTATTGAAAAATTCGATTAACAACGAACAAAACAAATCGTAAAAATTTCCTTTCAGTCAATTGATCTACAGTCTACCCTACTTATACCCTAGAGATTTTTAATCCCATGGTGAAGCCATTACTAGTCCCTTCACGCGTGACTTTCTTACTCTAATATTAGGGTAAGAAGAGATGTACTGTAAATACATTTATGTGATATTGAAATTTTTCAAATATAAATATTTCAAATTCAAATAATAAAGTATTCAAGATACTTAAAGCAAGATATTGATAACTTTTTATCAAATTTTCATCAATATTTATTTAATATAAAATTTGATATGATATTCTGGTAAACATATTAAGATTTTCAATCAAAACATCTTAATATTTTATAATTAAATTTTAAAATGAACTTTAATTGCCATACAATCCTGCAATGATCACATATCAAACTCGTGACTATTTTACATGATGAATAGTTTTTGTATTAAAAGTTAAATTTTGTATTAAAATAAATTATTTGTAGTTTAACATTTATAATTTATAATTCCATGAGCTAGAAAGATTACTTTTGTAAAGATTAGCCATTTTTAAAGAAAATGGGTGATGCATAATACCATTATCACTTATTGTTTATAGCATTGCAATAATAGAACAAACTGTTTTTCATAAAAATTCTAATTTTTTACAAACATTTTTATAAAATGTAGAGAAATGTTGAGCATACATTATTTTCTTGAAGTAAAGAATTAGAATTTAGTCTTTTATTACTTTAACACTTGAAAACTTGGAGACATCAAGGCATAAAAAAATTATACTTAGCTTTGATGAAGAGAGTCCACATTAAAATATTACTGTACATCAACGCATTATTTTATTGGCGGAATCGTTCCAACGTGTTTTCCAAATTTCTGGAAAATCCTTTTAAAAGCGTTTCTGTCGATTACGGTCTTGCTTGTAGACCATTTATTAATTAATACTCTGTTATTGACAATCGTTTTGAAGCACGTTCCAATCTATTACAATGGCTTTTGTTTCATTATTGCTCCTCTAAAAACACGATATCTATTTGCATATTATGTACTGTACCTCAAGAAACATCTCTTAAGGATGAAGCATATGCTGGGATTTTCAGAAAAAATCCTTTGTGACATTTGTGTGAAATGTCCAGAAATTGTTAATGTAAAATGGTTCCTTTATTACAATAATGTTACACTACCAATATTGTGCAACCAGTATTATAACTAGACATTACGTCACGTCACGTCATTCATATTCCCGTGTGTCATTTCTTTTTGTTTCTGCAACCGGCGGAAGTTATAAAAGGATATCGTATCTGACGAAGAGGCAGGCAGAGTTACAGTAACAAATCTTCGAGGTATGCCCAAAAATGGATTTTGGGAAGCATTTAAGACTTGAATACGGCAATTGCAGAGGTGTTTATAAGTTAATGAAGTGTATTTGAAACATGAAAAATTGTCAGAGGATATAGATAATGAAGCTTAAGGCTTGGTTTGGTTTATTTGTTTACGGCAACGCGACTCTTGGACGATCTGCCAAGGGAAGATGTCTCCCTGAAAGACTTTCTTTGGGAAATTGGCCCTTATTTACCTGTTACAAACGTGAAGAAAACCCGGAATACTTCACGCGGCCAGCCCGTTGGCCAGGCGCTAGCCCACCCTACCTGTGTTCAGGAGTTGAATTCACTCAGCCACTGGTGAGCTTACCTTAAGGCACTATCTAGTATTATTTCATGAATTAGCCCTTGTATTATGAATTGTCCATATGTTAAAGAATTGTTGGGCAATGCTTACATTCTTACAGACTAACATCGGTAAAGATGTAAATAGGAATGCCTTTTTCCACTACGACTAATATAACCCAGTCACACTTGATCCACAAATAATTTTAAAGTGCTACAGAAAACCTATTTGCATATTAACCAATTATTCTAAATAAATAAAATAAAAAATACATGAAAATTTTGATTGGGTTCTTTAACGTTATAACGAATGGTACTACTACTAACGAACAAAGCGTTACATGATTAAGAAAAAAAATGGAGATTGGATCTTAAGAGCGCGGACATTTTAATCATGTTGTACTCCTATCCTCTTAAACATATCTGTCAGCGCTTATTGTATTGAATACAGTCGACCCCCCTGTAACACTGTTGATAATTCCGTTTTATATGAATTCCATGTTGTACGAGTCACTTAGATTTTACAAATACGTGTGCCGGGCTGTGAACGACTTACGTATTTGTAAAATCTAAGTGACTCGTACAACATGGAATTCATATAAAACGGAATTATCAACAGTGTTATAGGGGGTCGACTGTATATCGTCTCGTAAATAGGGAAGGGAGATAAAAACGGTTCGTTATATCGAATTTTCGTACGTCCAGTATTCGTTATAAGGATCACAATATACTTTTATTAATAACTTTATTAGTAGGATGTAATAAAAAAATTGTAATGCGTAAGAATGAAAATCTCATTGAGACGAATGTTGCATATGTAGACGATATTATAGTAAGTTTTATTCTTAAATTTAACATAAACCGTGAGTAAAGTCGATTTCAGTTAATTCTCCGATCTTCTTATTCATCAAAGCGTGTGGATGTTGACAGGTTCCAATAATATGCTTCTGGAAATCTTGCTCGACAACCCATTTCATATCCGAACAACAATATAAATCGTTAGCTGAAAATGAATATCTCCATAATTTATCTTCGCACTGCAGCAAGAAATTATGGAATCTTTATATTATAGAAACCTTATGAAAACTTACCAATCAAATTCATAATCCACTGTCTTCTCGAAAGAGGATAAATTGTATTTTCTGATAGCCGTTGTATTTTGTTGTTCAGTAAAATTACACGAAGCAATTCTGGCATCCCAGTGAATATGTCATCTGGTAGAGACTTCAATTTGTTATCGCTGTAATATGTTTAATTTGATAATTATTAATACTTCAACTCATTATTATAGTTTTTATAATTGAAATATACTATTTGCACAATTTCTACAATTGTAGTAGGTATTTGCAACGTCCTTTGTTAAAATCACAAAAAATATTAAGAGTATTTACTGCAATTGTAGCAGATGTACGAACGTCCTTTCTTGGAATTACAAAGGATATTAAGAGCATTCACTACAATTGGAGAAATTGCGTTGGTATTCGGATTTCAGACATTAGATTCAACGTTGTATTCAATATATCGATATTTGCCTTCAACGATCTGCAACATGAAAGGAAATCGGCTGGCCTTCATGTTATTCATAAACTTAACACTTCTTTACATAGAGATATTTTGAGAATATAATTACCAAACTAGTCCAAAGACTGAACAATAAAATTGAATTGATGAAATAAGGCAGCACAATACATGGACGAATTTCCAATGGAAGTACCCCTGGAAGAATTTCTATGAGAAATGGCCCTATTTAGTTGTTACAAGCGAAGAAACACCCGAAAATTCCACGTGGTTAGCTATTAGTCAGGCGTAAACCCGAGACAAACTATTCGGCCACTGGTGCAAATACTTTGAAGGTCACTCAATTGTAATAAAATATTGAAGTTGGTGGGTTTTGGGTAACCCTGTCATAAACAAATGCTGTATAATATGAATATTAATCTAATTTCTACTTACGTAAGTTCAATATCTGTTAATTTTTTTGCTGGATTGGGAAACATGGAGCGCTTTAATTCCGTGATATCGTTACCACTCAAACTTATCTTTTCCAATTCTTCTTGTTTAACGAAAGCTTCTTGATGTATGCTCTTAATGTTAGCATAATCCAAATACAGTTCTTTTAATTTTGTAGAGGCTACCAAAGCAAAATCTTCACCGATCTGGCCAACTTCCGCTCTTCTAACCATTAAATATTTTAAATTTTTTAACGTGGAAAAGACGGACCATCTCCACGAAGTCAATCCTGTCACTTGATACATATAAATTTTTTCTAAACTGTCTTCGACCCCTTCAAACATCTTCGATCCATCTTCTGTTTCCCAACCTAAGATCTCGCTGTTTTGAACTTCTAATGATTTGATCGGTATCCTTCTGAACATTCCTTTCGGTAAATACATTAGAAATGCCCCGATCAATCTGGAATTTAAAAAAAAAAAAAAAAATTTAATATTGAACTATATTCTTGAATTTTGCACGCGCTAAAATGTGACTTACTTAAATGAAGAAACTGCATATCCATCGAGAACATTCATAATTGCATGCAAACTTTGAGGACTCATAATATCATTGCAAGTAACTCCCTTCATCCAATCGCAGACGCAACCTTCGAAAAAGTTTTCTTCAGGAGGACATGTTTCCTTTCTTCCAAAGGTTAAGGTTATCAGTGTCAGAAATACAATCCAAACAATAATTTTTCCACTCATTTTAATTCTTAGACCTGTAAAATAGGATAAACATTTAAAATATTAAATTATCAAATGAATAGTTATTTCAGTCATTTTTCTGGTTTTTGCGTCTTATTCTTTCTAAATTATAACGCTTAATGCACACGGAAGAAAAATTGTCTTAAGTAAAATCACTGTCATAGAACTATAATTTTTTTCAAATTGTATCTCAACAAAATGGCGACTTTTTAGCCGCCATTTTGTTCTATGATGATGATCAAAAACAAAAATGTTTAAAAACTAACTAACTTATTATGAAATTCAATCAAAAACTCTATTTAAATTTATTATATATTTTTCTGGCATATCAGTAAAGAAGCATAGGAGGTAAATCTGTCTTGAACGAAATCCTTGGTTTCGTTCAAGACCCTCATGATTCGTTTTCACGCTGCTACTCTAACTTCTTGATTGGAAAATATTCTTTTATAAATTGGTGTGAAAGATTACATTTCAAAACAATATTTTTAATTTTCGTACTTATTCGCTACATTGTTTGTTTTCTTCAACACGACAATGGACGATCTGCCGAGAAGAATTCCTCATAGAAGGACTACTCTCTATGGAAAATTGGCTTCTATTTAAGTATTATATATAACTTGAATAAAACTCGGAAAACCCTATGTAGCCAACCCGTTTGAGAAGTACGAACCCACGACCAGTGTTCAGTGGTTTTATCCACTTGGCCACCGGTGAGCGTTTGCTAAAGGTGTTAAATCTCGGACATAAATAGAATAAAATCGCATCTTATCCTATTTTTCGCGCAGTACAGTATAGTGTCAATCTACAACTTGAGATCTAGATTCGTACCTTTTTTTAACCCAAAAATATCTTGAATATAATATTCCTTACTGTAGTATCCTATTTAAATCTTATAATGTATCCGTTGTACATAAACCTTACTATATCGATATCTTGCATTAACAATCAATCGATCATTAAATATATTAATCAATTAATAAATCTCCTAAAAGCTAAAGTTGGAAATCTCTTAGTGCTCTTTAAGCGGAAAGAATCCAGGCTCCTAAATTGTTGGTTTGGCATGTTTAATTCATAAACTTTGAAGATAAAACAAAGTAAAGTATTACATTGTGTTTCAGAAGAATAGTGTATTTCACTTATATAAGTAATAAGCACTAGAATAAGCACTAACCTGCAGCCTTTGAATAATCCAAAATTTCTATTAACAATTTTTATCTTATTTTATAAACTTTCATAGAAAGGTATTATCGAGTTTCACAGCTGTCTGTGTCACATCTGATATTCTTATTTTTTTATCATTGGAGAGAAAATTGGCATGTTACTGATATTAATTTTAAAGAAACAAAAGGATAAACTTAACATTCGCTCTTAACAAATTTTTCTTACTTTCTTCTCTGATTTGCTAAAATAAATGTGTACTTCATTTTTGACCGTGGCAAAGTTAATAAAACCACTGAACGCTGTTTAGTTGCGGGTTTACGCCTTACCTAAGGGCTGAATTGTATTGCCTTTTCTTGACAATACAATTCATTTTTGCAGTAGTGGAGTGGATAAAACTACTGAACACTGTGGGGATTGGCACCTCATCAATGGACTGGCCATCCAATCTATTTTTTATTCTTTTCTTTCTGTAGAAACTAATAGAACCTCTTTTCCACATCCATCGTGGATTCCGCAGGCCCACAATGGAGCGGAGGGGTGTTGAGAGACAGGGCCCGACATATACAAGTCAGATTTCTCAAAATATTCTTGGAATTCTCCATTCGAATTTAATCCCGGATCCCCAGAAAGGTAATCTGACGCCTTAACCATTTTACTATTCGTAATAGATAAATGAAATGTTTATTTGCTTGGCACTTGACAGAATTTTACAGCTATCGTGTTATCTTCTATAATCAAATTTGAAATCTTACCTAATTAGAATGTGCTCACTTGTCAGCATTAAACATATTCAATGACGTGTAATTTAGACAAAATGGAAGTCAACACGACTACTTGGCCAATGCTCAGAATACGGGACCCAAGTTTAATATTTAATGTAAAACATGATATTGATATAAAGCCTTTTTCGATACTTTAATAGTTTGTATGTTTCGTATGAGAAATTTAAATATCTTGCATTTGTTTTAGTACGTATCAATAAAGAAAGATAACATTTATCTTTTCTATAATAAACTTTATCTGTTATATTTTACATAAAGAAACAGGAGAAAGAGAATTACTTAGAAAGTCCTTCGGAAAATTTGTAAGTTTAATAAAGAATTTCTTATAATACAGGAAAATTTTATGATTATTTTTGGTTATAAAAATTTTGCAATGATGTGTAGGACTCTAAAAGTTTGAAGGAAGTAGGCTGGCCGAATAGGGAAAAAACGAAGCACTTTCCCCTGGGATTAAGTAAAAACTACATATTATAATTATAAAAGTGATTGAGATATATGTAACTTACAATCTCAACCATGGGGACGCTTTACGTCTTTTTGTATTGATGTATCCTATAATCCACACGTGAAAAGCCCAAAAAATTAATAATTAAATTAAAATTTATTGATGTAGTTATTTGTCTCCAAACTTTGCTCCTATGGAAAATTCTCTGTGGACGTCCATGACTGCTACCGTACTCAATCAGAACTCCTAAACGTAACCAACGCAATAACTTAGTTAAGTAACAGTTTTACTTTGCAAAATAACCTATTATTAGGCTTCTAAAATTCAAGAAAAAGTATTATATTCGGATGTAGAATAATCTAATCAAAATATAATTAAAACCATAAAAATAAATTAATCGGTTTTAAACTATGAAAACTATCAATTTAGCAAACGTATTCGGACTACTTCATACTCTCTTTAGGATTCGTTATTTTTTTTTTAATAATAAATTCAAAGAAGCAAGCGTAAAGTGTTCGAAATCGAATGCGCTAAGTATTTGGTTTCTGTGTCCACGAGTGTCTGAGAGGACAAAACCACCAAACATTAATACAGTAATCGATCCAGGTTTGCATCTGACCAACGGGCTGGAACTATGAAGTTTTCTTCGCGTGTCTAATACCGGAATAGGTCCAGTTCCCCTGAAAATCCTCCCGGGAGGTCTTTTTGCAGATCGCCCACGTGCATTGCCTTATCCCATTAATTCTACCTGCTACAATTACCCGAGGCAAGGAAGCCGTCTTCAGATTGTCGGGAATGTCTGCAAACTTAAAACAGACAGAGTTGACAGCTTAAAGAGTCTGTCTTAGACTCTCTCGGCTGTAGCTGAAGCGCAAATCTTCTTAAGGTTCCAAGAAGTCGAAGATTAAATATTGAATCCATAAAAGCACTGCTGAATATAAAGCAATGCTGAGCCTTACAGTGCGATAAGTTTTATGATAAACTCGCGAATGACCAGAAATTAAAAACAAAATAATATGAAAAATATGTTTTCTGTGGTATCAAGAAATTACGGTCGGCCTAATCTTACGAGAGGACGGTATCCCATATCTTGCCGCCTGTCCAGAAAGACACATTAGAGAGGAAACAAAGAGATTTGCGCCAGCCAAGAACATAACCTATTTACGATAAAAATCTTATCAATTCGAAGACCATTGATGTAAATGGTCTTCGAATCCGTGGTATCATGTGTCTTCTTCCGATATCGCGGTAAATATTCATTGATCACCGCAATATCGCTATTGTGGACGGGAGAAATTAGTAGTTACCAAACAGGCCATTTTTTGACCAATCAGCAGGCTTAAAATAACATACATGGCAGAAGTCCAATGGGTTTAGAAAATACGACGTCCATATAGTTGAATTCTTTTGTACTGTACGTTCCGGATGCACGTTGAAAGTCTGCGTTCAATACTGTACTTCGTCCCTGTTGCGTCTGTCTTTAGCATCTTTCTCACAACAGCTATTTATATCTTGTGTTTGACTGCCACTTACTTTTCTTCTCCCTCGGTGTTTAGTGTAACACGTTAACACTACTTATCATTGTAATCTTACTATGATAAGTACAATATTTGTATCCAAAACTACAAATACTGTAAATTCATATTTTATTTTAGTTGAAATTAAAAATAATGCTCAGATATTTTGTACCTGGTTGCAATAGATTGTAACGTTGTTGAGATTCCTCGTGGAAAATGGGATACAACACCCGATGCTATTCTCACTAAACTTCATAATGCGCCTTACTTATGTAAAACGTTACCTACATAAAAACGAAAAATAGCAATCAAATCTGAATCATTACAACACAAGCCAGTTAAATTACAACATATTGATACAAAAGGTAAACTTCTCGTCACATTTATAAAACATAGAATTTATATAGCTGATTAATTTCGTTTATTTTTCAGTAGCTAAATCATCACACGGAAACATGTAAAATGCAATTAAATTATTGTGTGGACAGATGCCAGAGCAGTTCATCAGTTGGATTTCCTAATGGCGCTCCTGTTACTTTAATTTTTTTAAAACTCTTTTCGCCTTGTGGGCACTAAGCGGGCCTCTTTAGCAAGCCCATTATGGGTTCGGCCAGGCCCACAATGGCGCGGCTAGGTGGTGAGATATGGGGTCCGACATAAACGGACGTACTACCCGCTGAAAAATTCTTCGGATTCAATCCGGATCTTCCACAGCGGTAGGCTTGCCAGCTCCATTGCTCGGCCACCCGGCCGTCCATGTTACTCTAATATGAGCTATTATTAGCTCATATTAAAAAATTAAAAAATATTTATTTTAATATTAAAATATTAAAGTAAATATTTTCATTTTGTTGTGTTGTTAATTTGTTTAAAAATTATTATTAATTAATATTATATATTTTTTCCTTATTTGTAGCGCCATCTGGTGCCAACGTACGTAGTAGCTGTCATAACCTTGGTAATGGCAGTTGTCTATTTTGGTCGAGATGTTCCATTCCCTTCTCATCTGATGCGTAATTGCACCAACAATAAAGATAATTACATAAGTGCAACCCTCAGTCTTGTCTCACATGCTAAAGTGGTAAGTCGTCTCACCATTTGCTCCCTTTCTTTTGTTATGATCAATGACGCAGTTTAGGCTTAGGACCCACATACTTTATTAATAGCCAAAATGTGTATTTTAAATGAATTTTTCTCACGTTTTCCTGCCGTTGTACCCGCGAAATGTCGAAATAATCTATTTAAGGAAATTATATACCGTACAATTGATTGCTTTTTCCGTAATGTGGCAGTCTGTGATGTGATATTCCATAATGAGTTTATATGTGGCAGTAATTTCCCTATAGTAAGAGTTTTAATGAGGTCATGTTGCATATTTCTTCCATAATAAACATATAAGTGGCATATCCTCGTAATGTACCAATAAACTTATATTCTTTTAATGTACATGACAAGGTTACCCACATCATACTCTAGTAGTTGTATATTCGGTATGCTTTTGCTAAACTGGCTTCTCTTACCACAAAAGCGGTGGCCTTCTGCTCTGGACAGGCCAAAAAACCCGGGAATTTTTTGGGGTCAGTTCGTCCGGATATGTCCCTCTCTGCTTGGTTACCTCGTGGGGCCAGCTGAATCCGTATTTGGCTCGCTGATAAGTACTTAGTGTCCCTGGGGTCGAAAGAGCCAAAAACTAAAAAACAATGTTTTTTCTAAATACAGTAAACTTATAACATTAAATTTAATAGTGATTATAAGTTTAATTCTTTATGATTGTACACAATTTCACAATAAAAATGATAGACTGGTTATTCATTTCCTTCAGGAAGTTTGTGATGGTCTCGGGGTTCTTATGCACCTGGAAAGTCGAGGATTTTTGTTGATGTTTGGAGAAAGTCATGGAATTTGCTTCCTTGGCTGCCTTGTTGGTTTTTGCTGTTGATACGCTTGATTAAATGTAGCCGTCAGCAGCAAGAAGTAATATGGTGCAATATTGCTGTTGATACGCTTGATTAAATGTAGCCATCGGTAGCAAGAAGTAATATGATGCAATATTGCTGTTGATACGCTTGATTAAATGTAGCCATCGGTANATGATAAATTTCTTATTAGAGAATTCATTTATATCTATATATTGTAATTTATTTGATAAACAGCTGCTAATTGATAAATGTTACTGTGATAATTAAACTCGATTGGATTAATAAAGGCAACTTAACTCATATGTAATTCGCCAAGATAGTGTCTTCTCGGAGGACTTTCTATGAGAAACTGGCTTCTACTCTAGTGTTAAGTTCAA